GAGTGATTACAATCATCCGGGTTTAAATCGTGCTCAAATTGATATGATTTTGACGCAATATTTGCTAATAATTATACACTGAAGGTGGTAAGGGGCGTGACATTTCCCGACAGGCGCCGAGTGCTGCCAATAACAGCACGCACTGGCCCAGCTAACCAATCACAGCACATTTCGTATTTCAAAAGGCGGGCCTTCATTTAAAACAGGAACTATTCGAGCCGTTCATGCCAGACTGGGGAGAGAGGTGTTGTAATAATGTAAAATATGTGAAAAATAATGTGTTTTTCGAACAACCTAGTATGAGAGTCTGTTCTAGTACACCCCCAAAACAAAATCAAGACTTTGTAAAAGAGCATAGTAGGACCCCTTTAAGACTAATGTTATCAGTAATGTAAAATGCGGCAGTAATTTAATGTTAATTTAGTTACATTAAAGGCATGTTACAGCAATGTTCTATTTATTTCCCGTCATGCTGTAAAAATGTCCAAATGCTATTTTATGGGTCTTATCATTTTAAGGAGTTACTTTTTTACTGATTCTAATTAGTTAATAATTAAAACAAATTTTGATTAATGAGTAAATTATTTTAATTCGAAGGACATACCAATTCAGTACAGCATGTGTAAAGTAATACCTGTATGGAGGCCAAAATCACCACTGGGCATTTTGCCTAATTTGGACATTTTTCAAGTTAAATAGCTTTCATGCCAATTCATGTTGACTTGAATGATGACTTGGTTTTGGTGTATCTCTGAAAATGCAGGATGGAGGCCATGATTAGGTTAGATATTTCATCAGTTCCTGCGTGTGCATCTCATTCATTTTTGCAGTGTTTTTGAGTGGTATCTGCTCTGTGACCTCTGACCTTACGCTTTTCCATGGCAGATGATCATCCTGTGTGAAGCTCAGGAGTTTAAAGTGGCAGTAAACGGGTTCCACCAGCTGAGTTACAAGCATCGTGTGCAGGATCTAAGTTGTGTGGATGTGATAGCGATTGTGGGAGATCTAGAGCTGAAGGATGTCAAGATTTGGTGAGCAGCTCCAGCCATGAAGACCATTCCTGTGTTTTCTCCAACCAAGTATATTTAATCAACCTGAGACTCCTGCGACTGAAGCAAATCTAAACTATTTGAACTAACTTATTCAAGTTAGAATTTGAATATAATTTGAATCTGGCTGAACATTATACTCGAACAATTAGCACATTTGAACTTTTATTCTTTGTTGTTTTGTTTGCTTGTTTAAGTGTTGAATTTCAGCTCTAACTATAATTTTGATAAGGTGAGTTGAATGGCAAGTTCCACTGCATAGGCAGGAAGAAGTTAACAGCCCATGACTAAGATAAACCCCATTTGCTGAATATTAGTTGAGGAGATCTGGAGATGATCTGAACTTGAGCCTGATTGAGGTGGAGACGACTCCACAACTTCTTGTGTGGAACACGAAAACTAAACATGGGTCAAATACAGTTGAGGACCCCGGACATGACAGATGGATGGAAAAAAGATACCATCTGGCAGGATGTTAATGGTTGTGCGACAGTAATTTTACTGTCCGTCGAGCCATTTGTTTTCAGAATAATTCCAAGCTAATTCCAGGCATTTGGAAAATTATCGATTGCAGCTTTAAATTTCACACTGTTAGGCCAGAAACAGGGCTGATAAGCATACCCATCCATAAACCTTATCGTAAAACCTTTCTTAAAACATTTCAATTTCCTTTCTGCAGGAGGTGTAATTTTTACACCAGACAAGCAGATAATTTGCTAATGCAAGGCCTTCACTAATGAATTTGACTTGGCATGATGACCCTATACGAATATCAAACCAATAATCATGTTCACCATTAGGTTCCAGAACTAAAGATAAGCAATTTTTTATTTATAGTTTATAGCAGAACTATGCAACATTCCAACAGCCTACAATTGCTTTTTGCTACTACTAGTTTTAAGAATGATCTGGTAATTTGTGATATATATTAATATATATTATTTTGGTTTTGTTCCTCTGATATCTGTTGATCAATGCATTAAAGATAAGCAATATTATAAAAACAATAATAAATATATATATATATATAGTTATGGTTGTGTTTTGTGAGTTATTACCATTCATACATTCCATTGACGATGGGTTTAGGAATGGCCATTAAGCAATTTCTATCAGTTGCCTAAATTAGAATAACTAAAACATTTAGTTTATCATATTTTAATGAGGCATATAAATAAAGACAATCACAAAGAGCTTTTAAAAAAAAAACAAAAAAAAAAGTTGTGAATTTATTAACATCCACAATATTCCACTTTTGTAGCTGAAATCCAGTAAACTGCTTTTTGGCACATAATCACATGACCATAATGTGTTGGCACCTGGTTTAAATTTGATGCAATATGTAACCAAATATATAGCCAAAGCATAATTATCATAGATAATACCACTAATATTGTCGATCATAACCCCAGAGAGAGATAAAGGCAGTGACGTCGCATTAAAGTTGTCTGTCTCTATCACTGTATGACCAAACATGTCAGACTTGGGGACAGATGAGTTTGTGAATCACAGGCTGTACAAACAGACGAACACTGAAGTGATTCTCTGTCATCTCACCAGCTCAGGTAATACTCGAGGACCACAAATGAACAGACCACACAGTAACACTGTCCAAACGAAATGATCCCGTTTAGTGGCTGACTGACAGCTCAAAAAAAAAAAAAGGCAAAGCCCACTTCTAGAGCACAACAGTCAGCTTCCAGAAGCAAAAATCCCATTTATTTTCTCCATAGATTAATTGAATTCTAACCCCAACAGCGCATAAACCTTTCAAGAGGCTTTTGAACTTGAAGAGGTGGTGTGTGCTGCTGTAAAAGCCATACGTCTATGATTTCAAGGTCTTTTATTAAGATATTTTTTATAGCCGAATTCCTCTACGCCATAATCTTAACTAGAAAGAAACCAGTCAGAGGACTCATTGTTACTATGGAAACAAAAAATCACTGCAAAAGAGCTCAGCAACGATCGACCACTGCAATGCAGCACTGTGAACAACAGTCACAATGTTTTGTAATATAGTTAAAATATATTGTTTTATATTGAACCTTAGTTTCTGATTTGATTACGTTATTCACAATGCTTCGTGGGATGAGCAGTTCATGCCTTCAGAAAACTTTTGTAACTTTCCAGATTTCAAATATTTTTTCTTCCAATCTGAGTTTGTAATGATTCGTATCAGAGCTGGTTGGTTTAGTTTAAGGCTTTGATTTCTTTATTGGAGAACTTTATGAAATCTTTATGGAGAAATTAATGGGAAAAATACTTGTGAAAAAAGCAGTGTGGCCACTGTTGCGCTCTGTAGAGCTGCTTTTAGAGAGGCTGCAATTGAAAAATTATAGAAGCTTATTTCTGCAACAGAATACAAATAAATATTAGGTAATTGTGACTTTTTATCTCACAATTCTGACTACTTTTTTCACAATTGCGGTTATTTCTCACAATTCTGACTTTTGTATAATTGCGAGTTTATATCTCATGATTCTGACTTTTTTAGAATTGCGAGTTTATCTCACGATTCTGACTTATTTCTTAGAATTGTGATTTATGAACTTGCAATTGAGTTTACATCTCACAATTCTGACCTTTTTTGTAGAATTGTGAATTATGCTAGCTTGTAATTGTTAGTTTGTAACTCACAATTGACTTTTTTTAGAATTGCAAGTTTATATCTCACGATTCTGACTTTTTTAGAATTGCAAGATTATATCTCACGATTGTGACTTTTTTCTTAGAATTGTGATTCATGAACTTGCAATTGAGCGTTTACATCTCCCAATTCTGACTTTTTTAAAACGGCAAGTTAATATCTCACAATTCTGACCTTTTTTGTATAATTGTGAATTATGCTAGCTTGTAATTGTTAGTTTGTAACTCACAATTGACTTTTTTAGAATTGCGAGTTTATATCTCACGATTCTGACTTTTTTAGAAATGCGAGTTTATATCTGACGATTCTGACTTTTTTAGAATTGCGAGTTTATATTTCACGATTCTGACTTTTTTCTTAGAATTGTGATTTATGAACTTGCAATTGAGTTTACATCTCACATTTCTGACTTTTTTAAAACCGCAAGTTAATATCTCAATTCTGACCTTTTTTCATAGAATTGCGAATTATGCTAGCTTGTAATTGTTAGTTTATATCTCACAATTCTGACTTTTTTAGAATTGCGAGTTTATATCTCACGATTCTGACTTTTTTAGAATTGCACATTTATATCTCACGATTCTGACTTTTTTCTTAGAATTGTGATTTATGAACTTGCAATTGAGTTTACATCTCACA